AAGTTTGAAGAGAACTTCCCATTACAACCATGCAAAGCTCTGTAGAGTAAGAATCTTTTCTTTTTAAATTTTTTTTTTAGCAGAAACAAAATCGTACTTTCAAAATATGTCCACAAACAGTATGTCTAAATTGTTAAAGTTCATGTCATGACAAAACTCTGAAAGAGTAAACTTTATTATTTCACTTAGACATGAGACTTTTGATCAACATTATATTAAAATGAGTTTTTGTCACAATATTTCAATAAGCCTTTGAGCTAATCTTGAGCTTGAATGTTATTTGCACTAAGTGACGTATCTAGCACTATTCCACTATTTATCTCACATGGGGCGTGTTTTATATTATTTGCGTTCTGAATTTGATTTAGCGTCAGTAATAAAATAAAGTTTGCTTTAATGTCTCTGTCATATTTAACTAGTCTAGGAGCCATATGAATAAAATGTGAAAAGAAGATAAAGTTTAATGTAAACCAAGAAAAAAAATCTTTTGACATATGCACACACAAACAGTGAAAAATGATATTATTCACCCATTCACCACGACTCTTTCTGGGCTCAAAACGCTTACAGGGAAAGATCAGCAAAGAAATAAAAGGAAGAGACTTTTGTCGTTCATTCAATACCGAGAGAATTGCTGCATTTGTGTTAAAATAGACTCAAATTGTAAGGTTGTCATGGCTGCTTAAATTTAACTATAAAAGATTTTCTGATGTATACATAATGAACACTTCTTCAACTATTTAGCAGGTAGGATTGCTGTACATTTTAGAGTTGGTTTGTAGCATCATTGAACTAAAACACGTTTAAAAGCCAGACTGAACCTGCCCAGAAAACCTGCAGCCAGGGTTACAGTTTCATGAGTATTCATCGTAAAGATACAAGGAAAGACCTCCTGTGTATTTAAAAACATTTTTCTGTGAGCTAACAGTTAGCAAAGGGTTAATGATTTCAATGCCGGCTATGCTTTTTGTAATGGGCATAATAATCTTGGTGTTGACATCCTCTGGAAAATGCTCAACTCACTGCATCATGGCGAAACACAGAGTAAAGAGAGACAGCATGTATCACAGACAAGTCTATGCAAAGACAACCCAAAGCAGTACAACACTTCATGTGTAAATTACTTAATGTTGTACTTAAATGCATATTTTAATAGTTTGTGTTAGAAAACTTTGAGATATAAAAGGACACCTAAGAAAGTGGTAATTTAAGCCATTTTCACATAGACTCTAAAATCTCTAGATAATAAGTTCTGCCCCTGAAATCCTCCTGATCTGGTTGTTCACACATGCACCTCACAGTGGGAGTGGGCTGGGGGGGGGGTGTCTCCTGAGGCAAGACATGACGTAAACAGAACCATGCAGAGGTGGCTGACGAAGCAACAGGGTCTGCTATAAGACACTATAATGACAATATTTGCCTTTGTGTCAATGCTATGTTTAGTTAGACAGTATCATGAAAAGAGCAGAGAAGAACATTGTGCTGAACAAGATACAAAATGCAGCAGTTTATTTACATGCACAAAGATTGCATGCATACAGCATATGGTCGTGCACCGATTGCAGGGAATAAACATCACCTCCCCCTCCCACTCACTCAAGGGAAATTCCCCTGATTATATCCTGCTACGTTCTCACATCAGCTCACTCAGACTTCATGCAGAAAATATAATAAGGGGGTGGCAGGAGAATTAAAAATTTGGCTATTTGCATTCAAACATGCAGCGCACCCCAGAAACTTAAGGAGTGTTTCAGGAGTTTTGTGCAAGATTGAGCAAGGCCTTTGATAACACAGTGGAGGTTCCGTGGCTTATCATTCACTTTTTTTCAGAGAGAATTTTTGGTTAAAGTGTGAGATTTGGCTGAGCAGAGGTCTCACCTCTCTGGCAGTTCTAGCGTCAGAGTTCAACTTTGGGACTGTCAAGTTGCATATAGTGGAAATAAAAAGTATTAACCATACATAACTTGTATTCCCTCCCCTTTTAAGAATAATTGACATTTTTATAGGTGCACTAGATATTGATGAATGAGCGACACAAATACTGATTCCACAAAGTAGTTCCCTCTCTGTTGTCTGTAGCACATGGAGTTGGATAATTTCACAATACTTGTGTTGAACAACGTTTGTGGAAATCTTTAATCCACACATATGACTGGGTGCTTTGGGCTTCTACCTTTAATTACCTTCTTCTTTTACCCATGCTTTACACATCCAGAGAGTAGTATGAGTAGTAAAGATTTATTTTTTGGGCTTTTTGTGCCTTTAATGTAGAGATAGGACAGTGGATAGAGTCGGAAATCAAGTCACGGGCTGGATTCAAACCTGGGCCGCTCGCTTGGAAGACTACAGTCTCCATACATGGGGCGCGCGCACTAATCACGGTGCCACCAGCGCTCCAGTAGTATGTATTTTAAGTAAATGTTAATAAAAAAATAAAATTGTAATTTAAACTTTTTTTTAAACTTTGATTTATTTCTAATATAATCAGATGACGACATGTACTTTTAGGAATAGGCCATACAACACCAACTTAAGCAGCAAACACAGTCTGGGCCTGTTCTCCACCACAGAGCAGGTTGCAACATCCTTTTTGGGAAACACTAAAACTATATAATCTTCTTTTGCTTGCTCGTTTGTCTAGTGTAGTAATCCATGTGATTCATATCTGTTCAGGAATCAGATCTTAGAAAAGTGGTGAAATATTGTCCTCCATTGTTTGCTTTAGGGATGCACTGCACATGTTGTCTTCATGTAAGCTAAGCTAATTAGTTGCTGGATAGATCTTTGTGTCATGAGATGGTGTTGTGATGATTTATTTACTTTTGTTTTTACTGTACAGTTCATAAAATATCTGAGCTGGTGTTACTCTTCTCTTTCCCCATGGTGCACATGTCATGGGAACTTTTGTGGACACTGCAGCATCCCCAATCATCCATGTCTCATGACTCTTGTTTTAGGCTCACCATGTGATAGGGTATGCCATGAATAGTAAAGTAATGGATCTCATGATGTGCTTCATTAACCACTTGAAAATGGCTGTGTGTCCAAAATTACAGTCTGAGTGGTTGAGAGCCAGGGCTTGTTTTTTTATTTGAGCCCTTTTTTTTTATTGTTTTATTATCTTAAATATGAAGTAATTCAATCCACAAAGTGGATATGCTACTTTGATGGAATGTTTACCTCAAATATTTAATAATCTATCAATCTCAATCACACTAGTGAACTTATTTTTTAACAAATGTCACATGAAACCAGTGACTCCCAGAAATCAGTGGCTCCACAGATCAGGAGGCCTGTAGACACGAAGTACTGATGACATTTATTAAGATGAAGCAGCACTTATTTTGTTGTTGTCTCTGAATTTGAATGTTTAAGATTTCTGTCACTTCTTCTGTCACTGTTTTTCTCTGGAAGTAAGTATGACTGACAGGCTTGTGTGTATGAGTGGTTTTGTTGAATAAGTTCATGAAAACAGTTTTGTTAGCAAGATTTGGTTTATAAATTAACCAAATGACCAAAAATCTGACGAGCAAGAGAGTAAAGAATGTGGCGAGGACTCATTGTCCTTGACGTGTGTGCTTGTTGATACTTGACAGTTTGAGTGCGTGTATGCGTGTCACTTCTTGGACTGACCTTGCTTAGAAGCACAGTGCAGTGAAGCCTGACTCTGCAGATCAGGGCAATGCATGGCTTCATTAGCAAGACTTGTATGTGAGCCAAACGTTTTGGATCATACAATTTCTTATTTCAATATTTATAAAAAAGATGAAACCTTTTAGATGTTTTTGTGTTTACAATTTAAGTTGAAAGCTCAAACTCTGACACTGTGACGTTGTTGTTTGTGGAATTTGTCCCCTACTGCTTCAATACTTCCAGTAAAGCGTCCAGCCCTGCAGCAAAGTACTTCCTGAACTACAGAGGCATGGCAGATTGAACCTCAGATGATTTCTTCATTCTTATGACATTTTTGGGGAGTTTTTGTCAGGATGAGCTGAGCTCTTCTCATAAATATCCCCTGCAGGTTCTGTGAGTCCTTGCTTTGCTATGTCTTTTCCATCCTTTCCATTTATCTTGAGACTAACAAGGAACCACTGGGCCTCATACTTTAACAAACTACAAATCTGGCTCCATCTTGTTCACTTTCTAAAAAAAGGTAATTGATGATGAAAGTTAGTCAATTTAAATTTTGTTTTCTCAAAGTTGTGGCCTTGGTGGGTAACTGAAAATTGGTGTGTTGCCAATAGGACAAAACATCTCTGTGTTCCACTTCTTAAAGGAAATAAATATTGTCTTTCCTAACTTTCTATTTAATTTAAATAAATCTTCTCGTCTTTAGTATTTTTGTATCAACACAAATGCTGGTGGGTATTTGTAACTTTTGTTGTGATTTTTTTTTTTTTTTAATTTACTGATCGATTACTGCTGTGAATATTCCTCCATTGCAGCTGGCGTAGGATCACACAAACTCTTAACAGTGTGCATGTGTGTGTGCTTTTCTTTAACACACATCGAGCACTTAACCCTCAAGTACACACACACAATACCAAGTGTAGCCTCTGGCAACCCTCTCCCCTCTGTTCTATAGCTGACTAGCATTACTGCTGCTACGAGCTGGACCGGCCACCCTGGATTAGCGCCGGGCTGTAATCTGGGCCACTGCAGATTATACTTTTCATCTAATGCTCCCTCTGACACTCAGCACGTGACCGGCCCACACAAATGGAACCTCTTTTTTTTTTTTTTTTTTTTTCCTTCTTGGATGACAGGCTTGATGACGGGAGAGCGAGGGAGGGAGAGACCTGCGGGAAGTGAAACCGGTGTGTCAACGCAATTTCACTGCACAACTAGCTCTGCTAACTGAGGTCAGCATCTGATAAGAAAACTGATGCTTCAAGGATGGACTTGGATTTGACCTTTGGGATTACAGTAGAGAGTGTGTGTGATGTAACAGTTGCTTGAAGAGAAAAGTAATTTATTAACAGAAAGAAAAGGAGCAGGAGTTCACACCGTCTCGGTCTCAGCCTGCTGCAGACACAGGAAAAGAAAAAAAACCTTCTCTCATCTTATCTTCTGACTACCTGAAGATAATAAAAAAACCGTCTTCCTTGTATACGCACACACTTGGATACTGTGTCCCTCTATCACATACAGCACAAGAGTGCAGGATGCTGTAAACAAGGAGACACAGCGAGCACGTGCCTGGATCACATGCGGACAATCAGCACTCAGTTGGCTCTGCTTAGGTAGCTGTGGTGGTGGAAGGCGCTCCGATCTAACATCACACTGTGAGCTGTAAACATGGAGCCTCTGGAGGAGTACCACTCACCGTTTGACTTTGAGCAAGGAGTCAACACCAGCTACCTCTACCTCTCTCCAGCCTTCAGCGACACGCCGCCCAGCTCGCCAGTCCTCAAAGGCAGAGGTAATCATGAGGAGGAAAAGGGAGAGGCCGGGTGGAGGATGTGAGGTGTGTGTGGTTGTGTGCAGGGTGTGTGCATGTATGTTGGACAGAAAGACAAAACATGGGTTTGGTTCACTGAGTGCAAAGAATTTGGGGGGGGAGCAGGGGGGGTAAAGCTGTGTTTGGGGCAGCTCTTTCCAATTTTCAGTTTACTTTAATTTCTTATGTTTGTACTTTTTATATCATTTTAAATACGGTTGAATTCACTTTGCTTTTCTTTTCTTTCTTTTTTTACAATATTTCATCACACAACTCTCAGACATTACATGAAAAGTATTCTTCAAATTTGTTTTTTTAATGTTTTATGAAAGCAAAGTAAGCGTATCTGTCTTCCATCACTTGTATTCATGGAGAATAACAAAATAGTTGATTCTTTAATAGAATTCTGTGCATTGGAGAAGAGTTGTGTGTGACATGTTGAGATTTATTTTGAAGCTCACACTAGTCCTTTTAAAAAGTTATAAATTATTATAATGTTTAGCCAGGGAGGTTTCCAATGTCTTGGGATCAAATTAATTAAATATGAGTTTTTCTTTTTAAAGGAATTGTTGCACAACAAAAGTAAAAACATTATTTTTTATAGGTTAGACCCCCCCTATGGTATGGATACAAATAGACTATTAGATCATGCTTTTGTGTCTATATTTAATTTTTCACACATTGCAAGTCTTTTTAGAGAGTTTTAACTATTTCATTCATGTCATATTTATTATGTTTCTTTATGCAGCTGATCAAAAGGGGCTTCAATGAGAAAAGTGTTCTAATACATTTATGAAATGATGAGGCCACATTAGTTCAGTATAGACCAAAAACAATTTGCTTGTAGCTCACAATAGAGAAGATAATTATGTGCTGTCATTCTGTTAAAATTTGTCTTTTCAGGCATGCTGGGAAGTTTTGACAGCTACAGAGAGTGAGGCTGTCATGAGGCAGAGCATGTTAGCTTCAGAGGAAATGAGCTAAAGCAGAGAGGAGTAGGGCAGTCATGTGGAGGTTGGGTATGCAAAACTTCTGCCTACACTCGCATACAGACGTCTCTCCCTTTCTTTCTGTCTTCTCTCCATGTCTCTTTAATTTCTTTCTCGAGGCGTCCTCTGATGGAATGTGTTAGAAAACTTCACACAGCAGATAAATCAGGCCCAAAAAACCTGTTCTGTTTACCTCGAGGAGATCACTCAGCTTCACTGTAAACTCTTAGCAAAGTAATGTAAGGTATGAGAATAGAAAAAGAAGTTGGCTGACAAACTTTATGTAGATATGTATTCTGCTTGTGTTCCTGTAAAACATTTGACAGACTTTTAGTTTATTCTCATGCATGATTAATCACATGAATATATTTTTTTGACAAACTCAGTGATTCTCCTGTGGTATTAATTAGTGTTAGAATGAGTGATGACACTGCCAGGCATGTGTACACGAACAACTTCATAACTGTTTTTATGATTGGAAGTATTGGTGTTGGAGGAGCAGTTCTCCAGACGGTTGTGAGGAGATTCCACTGCATTCTTCATAGGGGTATATTTAGGTTAGTTCCTGTGATTTGGGTTTCTCTGTCCTTGGCAAAGGATCTGTCTCAGTTCAAATGTTTGTAGGGAACAGGGAATGTTTAGGGGGAGTACATGAAGTAGAGAAAGTATGCTTGGAATGAAAAGGGAGGAGATGGTGTAGGGTTTGAGGAGTGTGAAATGTTGTCTAAGGATCACAGGATGAAGAGAGAACACTTTTAACCACATCTATCTGTTGAGAGTAGGACGAGGTCAGGGCAGAGGGGAAACAAACCGGAAACTTCAACAGTTCATTACTACTGTGCGTCTTTGTAAATGAGAAAACAAGGGAATTCTGTTACATTAGTTTTACGTGTGTTTTTGATGTTAACATTCACCAACAGATCTAGTAACGTTAGCAGAAACATCTATGTTATCAGAAATGACATTAGAAATAGTCATTGAAATGGAAGTTCAAAACTATAGTGAATAGGGGCGCGGGTGGCGCGGTGGAGCAGGGGTTAGTGTGCGTGCTCCATGCATGGAGGCTGTGGTCTTCCAATCGGGCAGCCCATGTTCGAATCCAGCCCGTGGCTCCTTTCTCGCATGTCATTCCCCCACTCTCTCTCTCTCTCCCTGATTTCCGACTACCCACTGTCCTATCTCTCCATTAAAGGCACAAAAATAAATCTTAAAAAAAAAAAATAAAACTATAGAGAACAGAGTCGCAGTGAATTTTCAACACGTTTTAAAAACAGTTATGAAGTTGTTCTGTTCTCAGACTGTTATTTATATTTTAATCTGAAGCTGCAATATTTAAAAAAGTTTACATTTTCTTTAAAAATGCTTTTTTTCTTCCCTCACAAAAAAAGTTACATTCACAGATTGATATTTAATCTGGGCATTAACTGAAGGTTGGAGTGATTTTCAGAACCATGTTTGTTTTTATTTTTGATCTTTGTTTCACTGATGATTAAAAAAGATGACTTGAGCTGGTGAGGTGCCAGTAACAGATGATTTGGACAGCAGCACACGAGCTGTTTCCTGTTTCCCATCTTTATGCTAAACTAAGCTGACCAGTTGCTGGTGTTAGCTTCATATTTAAGAGACCGACATGACTACAGCTACATAACTCTTCCATGTTATTGAGCCTGCCCAACACCTTCCAGTACGACTACCTGCTTGAGTGAATCATGTCAATGAGAATGGATCAGCTACAGCCTTCCAGCGGGCCAGTGGCTAAGATTCCCATGGATACAGCACTAGCTTTGATGTCTCTGGGTAGAACTGGGTATGGTATCTCCATGACAGACATTCAAGTGATTTCAATCATGGAGTTTCTCTCTTTTCATACACGGAGATTTGTCCTAAGTTGTCAGAAGTTTTCATACCAGTGTATTATCTGAAAAAAAATCAACAAACAGGTTTTTCTTCTTTATTTCTAGCGTGTTCAGAGTTTTATCACTCTTACAGGCCGTTGTTTTCATTACACATACTCACAGCTCTTTTATTCTGAACTCTTAGGTTTCCTCTTTTTCTAATCCCATGTTTGTTTCCATTGTACTTTTACTCCAAATCCCTGAAATTCCGGGAAACACTGGATTGAAAATATGAAGGCTTTTTAGAGGCATGTTTGTGTCTGCAGCTCAGCTCTGGCCCAGAACATCCTCGACATCGCACGCTGTTGTCCTTTTTGACTGACAGATCCTAACAACCCCTCTGGTCCTCTGTTCTCTCACGCTGTCTCAACCAAGGATGTCTCCATCCAACAGTTCTGTGTGTGTGTGTGTGTGTGTGTGTGTGTGTGTGTGTGTGTGTGTGTGTGTGTGTGTGTGTGTGTGTGTGTGTGTGTGTGTGTGTGTGTGTGTGTGTGTGTGTGTGTGTGTGTGTGTGTGTGTGTGTGTGTGTGTGTGTGTGTGTGTGTGTGTGTGTGTGTGTGTGTGTGTGTGTGTGTGTGTGTGTGTGTGTGTGTGTGTGTGTGTGTGTGTGTGTGTGTGTGTGTGTGTGTGTGTGTGGTGTGTGTGTGTGTGTGTGTGTGTGTGTGTGTGTGTGTGTGTGTGTGTGTGTGTGTGTGTGTGTGTGTGTGTGTGTGTGTGTGTGTGTGTGTGTGTGTGTGTGTGTGTGTGTGTGTGTGTGTGTGTGTGTGTGAGAGAAAGCGAGGGAGATGGTGTTTTCTGTTCAATCGTAGAGAAGGAATTAAACGTTTTTTCCTTCTTCCTCTGGGCTACATCCAATGATGAATTGAATAATATTTAACGTTTAGTTTCCTTATCGTGCGCGCTGATATGTTCTCTCTCTCTTCTCCTCACACTCCAGAGAAATAGCATGACAGCTTGGGTATGACAACCTACATCAACCCCCCCACCCCCATACCACCTGCTCACTATCACACAGCAAACATGGGCACCTACATGTAAACATATCTTTGAAGAAAAAAAAAAAAAAAAAAGGTGTCACTCTACAAAAAAAGCCGCAAAGCTAACAAACGATTTGCCAAGTAAGAGGTTTGGATTTAAACTACCTTTTTTTTTTTTACATCCCAGGTTCCCAGCAGCAACCAGACTCCATCCCAGAGGTGGGAGAAGATGCTGTGACCTCTGTCACTCCCTCTCCCCCTCCCCCCACCATGACAGAGGAGGAGCGGCAGGAGCTACAAGAAGAGTTGGTCAAGGTCAGTGTGTGATCAGAGGGTTAAAAAAGGTCAGGGTTTAAGGTGCAAGATCTTGCAAATACCTGAAAAGGGTTGGCATAGCAGGCTTCAAATATACCACTTTGATTGCTGTTTTTAAGTCTTATGTTACCGTTTACACGTGACAAGTATTCTTTGAAGGTCTCGTCATATTAAGCGAGGCCAAAAGCAGCCTAACGACAAGCCTTCCATGACAACTACACTCTCATTTTGTAGTTTCCATGTTTCACTTACCTTGCTTAATTTTTCCAATTTTTAACTCCCATGACAGCTGAAATTTCCAACAGCTCTTTTGCCAAGATGAAACGGTGGGAAACATGAAACGGAGTATCTACTTTTAAAAACTGCTCACATTCAGAGAGCATTATGACAGCTTCACTGTTTTCTTTGTGGAATTATATTGATTACTCTATAAATCATTCAGTCTTTAAAATGTCAGAAACAAGTTGTTTCTAAGGGACCAAGGTGACCTGCTTTAACCTTGTTTTTTTCTAAATAAATCATGAAATCATATATTTTTCACTATATAACCGAGTGGCAACCTCTGGTGTTGAATAAGAAGGCAAATGCAGGAGTACAAAAACTTGCTCTTCGTTGAGTGTCAACTTGAGAGACTGCCTCCAAAAGCCAAGGAACCCCCATTAGAGCCGATTTTAAAAAAGGCAATTTTTTAGAGCAGAAGGTAACAAGTTTACAGCCTGGTTAAAAAAAAAACTGTTCTATAACTTGTTTTTTTTTTTTTTTGTAAAAACTGTGAGAGGAGTTGATTTGTGACACCTGTGTTCATTGCCTTTTGTTCTGCTGTAAGGAAATTGTATTCATCTTTCTTTGTTTGTTTATCAGAAATGTCTTAAGTTTTCTACTTGATCTTAAAAATGATCCTAATGGGGGTTCTTTGGCTTTTGGAGGCAGTCTCAAGTAGACACTCAAGGAGTTCAGTATTTTAGACTTCCACATTGGCTTCATTTTTCATCACCGCAGGTTGCCTCTATAAAGTCAATCAAAGTTCACCATTTTACGTAAACATTAAAAAAAACTATTTAAAAAAAGTAAACACCTGTTTGTGTGTGTGCAGGTTGAGGATGAGATACAGACTCTGTCCCAGGTGCTTGCAGCTAAGGAGAAGCAACTGGCGGACATAAAGAGGAAGTTAGGCATCACGCCTCTCAATGAGCTCAAACAGAACATCAGCAAAACCTGGCAGGAGGTCACCGGCTCCACGGCGTGAGTGCTTCCCCACCGCAGCATATCGAGAGCACATTTCCTCATCATGACACCTTTCTTTAAAGCTTTTGCCTCTATTTTGAGGCAATTCTGTCTTCTGTCTGATCCCCTTCAGAGTAGAATGACCCCCAACACCAGCAGCTTTATCATCCACCATTTTCCAGCAAATGCATCATCTGTCTGTGCAGAGATGAATTTCTTTTCTGATCTGAATGCTTTGAAAACTGTCTGCCCCAGTCGAAAGAAAAGTCTTTCTACTTCTAACAACAAGGAAGAAGATGTCTATGCTCTCAAAAAGTTGCCTGTGGGCTGTATGAAAAATGTTGGATGAATTTCATGTTGGAGGAAATGAGCAGCATTTCGACGCTCTCAGGCTTTTTGAAATGAAAAAGACATTTGACTGTTTAGTTCTGACCTTCATGCCTCTCTTCAGTCTTTGATCTCCCCGTCTCTTTTCATCAATCTCATATCCTCTCTTTTGCTGTCCATCACTTCTCCCTCACTCTCTCTCTCTCTCTCTCTCTCTACATCTCAGCTATAGGAGGACTTCTGAAACTCTCTCTCAGGCCAGCCTGAAGGCCACAGCAGCGTTCTCTAATGTGGGCTCTGCCATCAGCAAGAAGCTGGAGGATGTCAGGTGAGTCACACAGGATGCATTAGTGTAAATAGTACTTTGTGAAGCACTGAATCTTAAGGTATTCCTTTTCTCGCTGCTCAAATTTTGATAGTTAGGGCCAAATTAAGTAAGTAAGAAAAAGTGTATTTATATAGCACCTTTCAAGAGCAGAACGTCACAAAGTGCTTCACAATAAAACAAAAACAGGGATAATACAAACAGACACATCAAATCAAACAAAGGCAAGTGTGAACAGAGGGGTCTTTAGCTGCTTTTTAAAAGTGTCCACAGAGGTCAAGGCTCTCAGGTCTGGGGGAAGAAAGTTCCAAAATTTGGGAGCCGCAACCTCAAAGGCTCAGTCAACTGACTTTTTGTCCTCATAAGGAATAAATGGAAATGTGTGTTGGCTGGGAGCAGTGACTTTCATACCCTGAGACTAATTATTTTCACACTGTTTGTATATTTTAATCTTAATCCAACTTAAATGTTTTTATTAGTGAGCTCTACAAGTAATGCCACATGGATTTGTTACCTTTGGATTGGAGGCTGGCTTTTCTAGGGCTCGACTTTTAAGGGGTTTTGGGGGCCGATACCAATATTGGGGAGAGAAAAAATCCAATAACGATATATCGGCTGATATCTTTCTTAGATTTCTGCCTTTTAATAAGTCAGTTGTTTCTTACCACTGTAACTTTTGTTGCTTTGCTAAAGTGCTCATGATGGATAGGCCGGATCTTTGTAACATAACAATGAGTAAGGTCTTTTACCTGCTTTTTGTAACATAACAATGAGTAAGGTCTTTTACCTGCTTTTTGTAACATAACAATGAGTAAGGTCTTTTACCTGCTTTTTGTAACATAACAATGAGTAAGGTCTTTTACCTGCTTTTTGTAAAGTGTCACGAGATAACACTTATTATGAGTTGACGCTATACAAATTAAGATTGATTGATTGATTGATCTATGTTTGATCTGTAGAGATAGATAGATATGTAAAACCGATGTATACAGTCAACAGCTGACATTGTCTCTGTTATCTTCTCCTTATTCATTAAAGGTCTTTATTATGATATATCTTAGAGATAGATTTTCTGTCCATGAATACAACCAAATAAATCAACTCATTATTTCTAACAATACAGCTTTGTTCATATTTCCTGTTTTAAAAAAGAAACAAACCAATCAACAGATTGTTCCTCTTAAGATGCAGCTCCAGCTGACCCTCCCTCCCTCAGATCCTAATCTGTCCACTCTTCTGTCCTCCTCCTTCTTCTTCTTCTCTCTGGATTACTGAGCTGCAAACAAGATTATTAGACCCCACAGAGCAGCAGCTTCACAGATGAGCCTCAGCTGGTTTCACGGGGGGGGTTGGGTGCTGAAGAGTGACCTGACAGGGGGTCAAAGGGGTGTGTGTGTGTGTACGTGCCTAGTGGTGGTTTTGTGTGTGTGTTAGATGAGAAGATATTCCCCCCCATGATATACAGGATTAGCACAAACCCAGTGTGTTAATACACAATTGATCTTAATGGGATAAAGCAGGATTTATGGGATTTATGCACCTCGAGTTCTCTCCAGTTGAACATATAGAGGAAGAAAAGAAGGCTTGTACTACACATTGTGTCTGTCTTTATCTCTTGTTCTATTGTTCTCTCTCTGTGTTAAACTGTACTCTGCTGAGATGATCACTAACGCTCCCTCTCTTCTCCATAATGCTGTCGGATAGCATGCGCTCATTACAGCACTCAGCTAGTATGCCCGTCATGAGGTAAGGGCATCCAATGGTGTTTGTGTTAATGTAGCTGGCACACAGTTACATTACCACTACAAAGCTTTAAGTGTGGACTAAAATATGAAAGAGGTAAAGGCTGCACTGTGTTTGAGTGGAGGAAAGAGAAACTTGCTACAGATTGTATAAAAAAAAACTAGGTGTTCATGTCAAGCAAAAAATCTTGTCAAGTGGAGATAAAACGTCTTCAATGACGGAGACCGCACGGATTAGCTGAATGAAAGTTTGATTTTGGAAACACCCACCTGCAGAAACGGCTCCTTCGGTTGGTTTTCTGTTGTTTCTATCCAGTGTTTGAATTATAATCACCATCACTGTCTTGTGTGTGTGTGTGTGTGTTTGTGTGTTATTTTTTTTACTGAACACATCCTGTAATCAATTCTTTACTTATTGACACTTGCAGAAATTAGCCGATTAACTGATTTAAAAATCTGTTGTTCAGTCTTTCTAACATCCGAACATTCAAATCATTTGTAATATTTAAAGTGAATGGTAGGTTAAGTCTACTATAATAGAAGACTGGGTGTTCTTCCTTTTACGAGTCCTGATCCTATAGAATATTCATTTAATTAATTCACATCCAGTCAGTCGCTGATTTTGCTGTGATAATCTATTATTGTTTTAAACGATTTGGAAACATGACAAAGATATTTATACAAACCAATCTGACCATTTCACACAAAAAATTCATCTTTTTTTATGGATAATTTTTTTAAAAAAGGGGTCTTTATATTTTGTAAGTCACATTTTCCAAACTCAACATTTCTAACTGCTATGAATTGATTACAGAAATGTGTTGACTGTTCTTAAGCTCATCCAGTTTTATTTTATTGTTGTTGTGCTTTTGATGAATTCATGGAAAACAGCACCTCATAGCACCTTTCAGTAGAACAGAGAGGAGTATGTCTGTGTGCAGTGTTTGATAACATAACCTGTAAAGGTTTGATGACAGTAGATGTTCCTCTTCCTGCTGATGAGCTGTTGTCTGTGTCTTTGTGTAATGAAGCATGTCAGACAAACACAAACATGTTAACTATTCTTGTTTTTTAATGTCTTCTTTGACAGGAATGCACCGACTTTCAAGTCATTTGAGGGGAGAGTGGAGACCTTGAAGGTAACTTAAAAAAAAAAGAACAGGACTTATAGTCACACTTTCTGACACACATTCCATAAGGTTTAGTCGATAGTGGATTGTGTATAAAACGATGCCTGTGACATTGGACTTGTAACTGAGAACCAACAGATCCACTAGAAGAGTCTTCAGTTTCTTTAGATCGTATCTGTCATACTGACATTCTTACTTTTACATTTTACAACATCAATGAAGTCTAAAAACCTGGTCAGCCGGTTGTGAACATCATGCTTTCAATCAGTACACCATATCTCAAAGCTTAGAGGCCACAGATTTCAGTGTTGGAAGAAACAGACCTCAATCTTTTTTTTTTTAATCTAAAGAGAGACTTTTTAACCTCTACTCTTAATCTCACGTTCTCTGAGTCTGTGTTGTAGAAACTTCATTTTAAGTCAAGCCCGACCGATTAATCATCCAGACAAATAGTATATGATATTAGCATATCAAGTGACTATCATTATCGGCAAATTTTTATCAAAGATATGCACTGGTATTACTAAATCTAATAAATCACATTTCATTTAAGTCTTGCTGTATTACACTAACAGTTCTCTTTGTGGTTGTCACCAGCAGAGTGTGTTATAAGGATTACAACAAACATCATCACTCTCCAGAGAGTCAAGCGTTGACACACGTACATGTACATTATCTTCTCCACAGATCTTTGATAACTGCGTTTGAGGGATCAGCCCAATAAATATTTCTACAGATTGAACATAGATCTAAGAACGATATCAGCCGATATATCTGTAATAATATGTTTTTTCTCCCCAATATCGGAATCGGCCTCAAAAATTCATATCAGTCGGCCTCTAATTTTAGGTCAGCTTGAGTGAGTTTAAATGTTGTTTAAAAGAAGTATAAATAGAAAGCTTCATCTATGGCTAGAGGTTTTGGGATCTTTTGGCTTTCATTTTTTGAATTAAGTATCTTTGGTTTGCTAAAAATAGCCACCATAAAATAAACCTCACTTCACTATAGACAAATAAAGGCTGTAGCAGCAGAATTGAGAATTGTGTTGAATAGATGGAGGTTCAAAAGCATAAGCTCCAAAAAGCTCCAAAGTTAACTTTCAAATAATGAGTAAAATGATTCCATGTGTATCAATCACATTGTTGACATGATTTCAATGAATTCTTCTCCTCCCCTCGTTCAGACCAAGATGGGTCCACCAACATCCACCTCAAACCCCCGGCGACCAGAACAGCGACACTCCCACCGCCGAGCCTTTGACTGAAGACTCGCCCACCCCAGAGCAACCGATGAACTGAGACCTCCCAAACCCCCCCTCCTGACCTCCCTCCTGACCCCTCCCCACTTGACCTTCTAACCCCCCTCGGAACACCAACACTCGCCCCCCCTAAACCTTTGTGTGCCAGTCCCTCTTTATTGGAAACAAATGACTTACCCCAGCCTTCTTTGTGATCTAATTGGTCTTTTTTTTTCTGGCACGTGCGCTCACTTGTTAACCGGTGTGGAAACAGAAAGTGTCTGCTGGGGGGGGGGGGGCAGCGGGCAGCGGGCTTGTGGTCTTGTGCCGGTCGTTTGAGTCTTTTCTGGTTCTCTGTGGGAGAAAGCCTCCCTGCTGTATGGATGTTCTTCCTCTAGCACTTCTCATTCCTCTGCCTTTGTCTAACCAGCGGATGCCAAACACCTCGTTCACTCTGTCTTTGTGGAATTAACTCTTTCACAGTTTGTGTTGGTTAAAGTGAAGGAAGTTGCACAAATATAGAAAGATATACATTTACAAACTTGAGTAGAAAAAGACGTAAAAAACATCTTTTTTTTTTTTTGTGAGCCAGGCAGTTTTCGGCTTTTGCTTCTGCATGGCCCTTTAATAATATATGTTGGAGTTATTGTTAAAAACGTGTTTTGCACTTTTGTCTTTTGTTTTGTCTGCGTCCAATCTGGGGCCATTCTTTGTTTACTATGGGTTAACATTTCGAGGGCAAGTTTCATTTGTGTTGTATTAATCCTATAGGACTAAACATAAATGAGTCTAACACTGTGTTCCAAATATGAATGTATACATGTTATATCACACACAGATAGGTACAACACTTCCACCCACAGTACTGAGCTGCTGATGTAAGATCAAGAGCGCAGCCTGTCGTGAGGTAGAAAAACACGCCTCACAATATAAAAGCTTTGCTCCATTGTTAAGAGTGTGTCACAACACAACGATCTCCATGTCAAGATAGTTACAGGAAAACAGCCAACATCAGCAACACACAGCGGCAGAGCAAACACACAGTCAAGGTTCAGCCCTGACCCGAGGTGGGAGTGAAATAAATGTGTCTCTTCCACAGCCAGAGTCAATATTTAAACACTCGTCCATTGTTTCTGTGTGGGAGGCAACACCTAACCCACAGCCCTGTTTTGTACTGAAAGAAAAAAAAAGTGAGACCAAATACTTCACGCAATGTTTTTTTTTTTTTTTACATTTCTACAGAAATATAGTATAAAAAAAGAAGGTTAATACTCATTTTGGAATAATCTGATAATAACTTTGCCATTTCAGTTTTTTACCCATGCTAGCAGCTTTAACCCTTTGTGCCAGACTGAAGCATCTTAACAACTATTTGTTTACTGTAACATTTCAAACATACTTCCTTCCACCTTGTGCCATCCCGACGCTCAGTCTTTTTGTATCGAGTGTAATATCAACTTTTTGATGAATTGCAATTTACATTACATTTAGTGTTTGAATTCATTTTAGCCTCTGTGCTGCTTTGGTTTATTGCTAATAATAAAATGTGACTCTTGCCACACACTTTTCTAGTCCTCCATTATATCCAGGGCTACAGCTGGAAGTTAAATAAAACCTGAAGGGCAAACAGAGAATATCTAATACAGCCAAGGTTTTTCTGGGTACACAAATGGTGGAACGCAAAGGTTTAACACAGATTGCTGACACTACCTGGTACAAGTCTTCCCCTGCTGGTGGACCACGGTCTAAACAGGACTGTGGATCAGCTCTACCCTCTTCAGTTTTGACTGTTTGTAATGCAATTTGCCTCACAGACATAGACATAGACACAGACATAGTGTCAACAACAGCAGTGTTTTGCTAGTCTGAGTTGACAGTAATAGGTTTTAAACGGTACTTCAGGTTCCCATGTCCCCGTGTAACTGCAGACATGACCCGGTTCACTGAGAGAATCTGTCTCAGCCTTTCATCTCAGTCAGTACCGTTTACCAGTATACAGTCACACACACACACACACACTGGATCTGTTTGTACTTTCATTGGAGCCATGAAGTGAAGAAGTGTACTCTAATTAAAAACACCTCTGAAGTAACCTTAATTTGTGTTTTTTTCTTTTATTCCACCATTGAGGCTGAAAATGAGAATCCTATTTTACTATAAAGCCACATACAGTATGTCTGTGTGTGAGAGATGTGACGTTTGTGTGTCTTGTATAGGCTACATCTGAGGTTGCCTTCCTCACTTGCCTCCTTCACTGTGTCCTAGACACTCGTATCAAAGATGCAAGGAAACGAAAAGAAGGACATTTGTTTAGAGGGATGAGACATGCTTTCCACCAAAGTGTCACATGAAGCAACGTTTCTTTGTGATGATATCAGCTGATCAACGCTGAAGTTGACGATTGACTAGTTTTTTTCTATTTATAATCTCTTTATTGAGCAAATTGCAGGTACAGATAAAACAGATCTTGGAAGCGATATGCAGGGATACATGAGCAGACGTCACAGAAGTCACTCATTGATTGGATGCTGCAGTGGATTAGCCTTCAATAAAACTTATCAGCATCCCCAGAGTTTAAAGGACAACAGATGCACCTTGAAACAGACTCTAAACGGACACAAAGACACATTAAAACATAAAAACATTCAGTCAGTTTCAAAAGAGTGGGACGAGCCAGGAGAGTTTGACATGAGGATTAAGAATGGTATATTGAGCATAACTTCACTGCTGATTCACTATCAAACTAAAAGTCAGTTAAATTTAACATAAATATTCTCTTGTTTGGCCCTTCATAGTTTTATTATACAGAGAATACTAAATCTGAGGGAGTCTGTCAGTTAGAAACACTTTTTACCTTCATTGTTCTGTCAGTTAAGTTCATAAAAGGCCGATCATTAGTTATCGACAGGTTTATCTCTTTTATGATTTTAATATTTTCCTGAAAGTCAAAACTAAAATTTCAGTTTTTTACTGTTCATGACACATTAAAAAAATATAAAAGTATTCTCATTCTCATTTTTTTTTTTTATTCACCAAAACGTGCATACACACACTCGCACATTTAAAAAAAAAAGAAGAGAGATACAAACAAGAGGGGAACTGTGGTACGATACAGTTTTGCAAGCATATTTAGACAAAAACAAAAGGAAAAGGGTCAGTAAATAAAATGAATGAATTAGAAAGAGGGACAAAATAAGTGACTGAGCAAACAGGACAAAGAAAAACATGGGGACAGTATAGTAACAAAATTATGTAAAATAAAACTGGTTGGATAGGTTGTACACATGGTGGTGATTTTTGGTGTGTGGTTCTCATCTCTTATAACACATTTCCTTTCCTTCGCTTTGTTTCCTTGTGTCTCTCCATGCATCGCTTGCAGGAAGGACTAAAACAAAAGTGTGGAATGCATGGATGTCATTTAAAAGACTAGGGATGTATCTATAGAAATCAAATTTGAAGTAATCCTCCTAGTAAAAAAACAAAGACTGTCCTAATGTCCTCATTCAGCTGAAGTACCTCAATTGACCACAAGAGGGCAGCAAGGAACAAGCAACGCCTAATGGCTTTATTTTTCTCAATCCAGACCAGAGCAGATTGCCTGGAGAGCAGACTGAACTGACTCATGGTTAGAACCAGTGCCCATTACATTTATATTTATCAGATTTCTCCCTTGAAGCCAAGGAAGGAATCCAAACATGTCTTAATTTTATTGGCACTATATATGCAACAGGCATCATAAACTACATTTTATGCCAAACAGTTTGTGTTATATCAGAAAACAAAATTGTTTTTTTCTCTTGTCATTCGTCTGATGTAGGCTGGAGCGTGAAATAGTTATTCTTGGTTTTTAGGAGAAATCCGGATTTTCACCTGATGTGAGTTTGTGTATGTGTTTTCACACTTACTTTGATTGTTGCATATTTAGTCGCGGACAAACACTGTAAGTCAGAAGAGAAAAGGTTTGGATTTCATCAACGTTTTCAAGAGGTTTACATATAACAGTGTTAAAGAATGAGTAAGGCCTAATGGCTGCAAAAGGTCAGTACAGCTTTAAATTTCACTTTAATAATGTTGCTTTTATTTATCAGAATAAGTGAAACACTTCTAGTCCAGATATCTCATGTTCATACAAAAAGGATGCCAAGCAAACACTTCTATTTTTAAAATGGGCTTTGTTTTTCCTTCTTCATGTTACTCAGTAATTTCAATTTTAAGTTTAAATAATTACTGAAGATTACAAAGAAATACCTCTTTTATATATGTTATTCTGTATTATTATTGATCATGCATTGCTCCACAAGCAACTCATTTATAGGATTTATCAGATATTTAAAGTCTCAATTGCAAATGTGACCACAAACTTAAGCTGTTAAGTAAACCTAGTGGAGTAAAAAGTACAATATTCGCTGTAAAAATGTAAATGTAAATAGTATCAAGTAAAGTATAAGTAAGTTAACTCAGAAGTGTATGGTTACAAGGTTCTAAGACTTGAGCAGCTAACTTGTTCATAAAAAAGACTAACTGTTGTACTTTATGAATACATGTTTTAACATAAACTCTTATTGAGTGAAAGCATTCTTTAGTCTCAGCAGAGAAAAGAAAAGACACGGTGACAACGGATACCAAACAGCTGCCAAAAAATCTTTATTCAGTTCTAACCAGAAGCCTCCAGAGTTGTCCAGTCACACAGATCGCCCTGGAGGAGGTCGTAACTGCACAGAGTCAAACAACAACAGCACCAGAACGCAATTTGTCAGTAAACACAATTTACAACGAGAACAAAGGCAGTTTTTCTACACAGAGATCAGATAAGAAAAAAATAAACTGGTACAGGAGTTAACAGTCAATTGGTATTGATTCTTCTTCGGAAGAAAACAAATCACCATATATTCATAGAAATAGTTTGATTATTTTGTGGAAAAGAATATAAGAAAACATCATTGGTACAACAGAGTATACGATTTGTGACAGAACAGATACGTATTGCAAGTGCTTATTGTGTTGTGTTAACAGTAAAAAAAAAAAATCATTTGTAGACTTAATATGTGACACTGAAAACGGTCTCTGTGTGTAATATGATGAAGCAGCCTTATACAGGTGCTGAAAGAGAACATTCAGTTCAAACATGGCTTTGTTTGTGTGTGTGAGTACAGAAGGCAAAAAAGAAAAACCTTCAGGAATTGTCCAAAATGACTTCCAATCAATCCAATCAGTTTCCTTTTGCATTTAGAGATAACTCTTACCGAGTTAGACGAGAACCACTGACACCGCTCTAATGTCTGTGGCTTACAAATGAGCAAGAACTGACAATAAGCTTAGCAGTAATAACAGAAATAGTTTATCTGCCATGCTATTGCTTGGTCAAGTCCTTTGTTTAAGCTAGCGAACAGCAAGAAAAGTTAGTCGTTCTTTGTGTTTTTGCTTAGCTCAGCAAACGTTTTGCTTCTGTAAAGTCGTACCTAATGTAAGAAGAAAGCAGCCACCATCTGTTTAACTAATGTTCAGCAATAAGAAAAGTAGTCTAGTTCAGTGATTGTTTTAGGCAACTAGCTAGATTTTAGCTATTTTCTGACTTTAAGCTAGGCTAAGCTAGCTGTCTGAGCTGTGGCTTCGACATGAGAGAGGTCATAATCGTCTCGTCTAACTTTCAGCAAGAAACAGAATCTATTCCCAAACGTTCAAGGAAGTTCAAACTCTGAAAAAGGATTGGGAGTCATTTGTGAGTTAAAATATTGACACAAAAAGAGGACCATGCAATATGTTTTCTTCAGGTGACACTTTAACCTAGGATACCACTAGGTTTCATTTTGAGGTACTTCTGTTGCACTTAATCTGAAATAAACTGTAAATTCTTTCACTCTTGGCCTTCTCAAAGCCAAATCTTGCTTCTGCAACAACAGAAATAACTCAATGTCTTGACTTATCGGATGTAAAACACTATACTGCCTGTGTAAAACTGATCCATATGTGCTTCCTTCATCCACCCACCCCTCACTGCTTTGAACCTCCTGCACCCTCACAGCGAAAGGAAGCAACCAATTTAATGGACGGCAATGATTCTTATCAGCTCAGGTCACAAATGGAGCCTGTGTACATGTGCTGTTTCTCATCAATTATTCAATGCCTCGGACACACTCGGACACATGAACAGCTCCCTGCGCTCCAATAAGAGCGGCCCGAGCATCTTGTACTAGCTTGACTCAGTGAGGCCTTGATCTGCACCTTAAACGCCTCAAAGGAGAAGAGACACAAGTGCACAGCATGTGGTTACAGGCAGGATCAGAGTCACTACAATCTCTGCATCTTGTTTAATGTTAGTGAGTTCAAACCAGACGAGATTTGACCTCGAGTTTGTACATCATAAACATCATAAATCTTCACTGTGGGCTACTTATATTTGATTTTGGTAGTGTGATGAAGATAAGCAGGGTGTAAGAAAAAAAGCAGCAGGGGGGAGGATTATTATGCCATGTAGATAATGCATGAGGTATGACAGCTTGCACATTGAAACTTGTGCATTTATGGCTGCAGGAATGTCTTGATCAGAGACTAGAGATGCACACACACACACTCACATGCTCACAGTTTAGCTTTTGTGCTCACACTTTTGTTGCACAAACAAACAGAGAGAGAGAAGGTGTAAATGCTACACTGAGCAGATGGGACATAACCTCAGGCGGTCATCCGAAACACACACTCCATCATGTCATCGCACACATACATTCAATGCTAACTGTGTTTAGAGCAGCGGCCTAGCAAGACGCGAGCTAACACCAGCGGACTGCTCACATCATTACAGGATGAGACCGGAAGCCACGGGGACATATGTCGAACAGCATGGGTGTATATTGCCATGATGACATGATCCAACACAATTGGCGCTCGCTCACACACACACACACACACACACACACATTAACAACATTATGAGTGAATGAGGTGTGTGTGTGTGTGTGTGTGTGTGTGTGTGTGTGTGTGTTGCGAGGTCCAGGTTGTGTAGCATCAGCTTATGCATAAGTGTAGTGAAAGAAGTCTTGCCCGATAGCTATTTCTGAAAAAAAAAACACAGGCAAATGTTTGCAGCTGAGATATTTAGTTGCATATTGGAATGCTTTCTTAACAGATTCCTTTTGATAAATGATGCAGAGTGATATAAATGTTGTAGCTGTTGGGAAAGGAGGAGAGCCTTGCAGAATATGAGGCACACCCCCCCAAAAGCACAGAATGATAAAATGTTTTTCTTATTCACCCTGCAGTCATGAGACACAAAGCCTCATGAAAACATACTGTTACTCCTGATGACCCACGAGGAAGTACACCTGTGGGACTCATGCTGGAGCATATGAACCAAGCTAGCAGACTTATAAAACCAGCAGATTGGTGAGGAGACGAGTATTCCTGTTAGAGCTGACACTGTTTGAGATATGAGAGCACTCCTGTGTTGTAAATAAATTAAACCATCTCCTTCACAGTTGTTGTTTCAGGATCAGGAATTCGAGCCAAATTTAGGGGCCATGATGCCAGAACAGCGCAGAACTTTGTTAGCATATGAAAATGTTTCCTTGCACAAGCCTAAAACTGCAGGGATTTTAAATACTTTATAGTTTAGTCCTGCATTCACTGTTCACTTGAATGCCACATATAAAAGCCAAATCTTTTTCAATGACATCAGAACTACTCTCATGTCTGAACAGTTAGTATGTAGCTGGAGCCGCTGGTTAGCTTAACATGGCTTTGACGCTGGAAATGCTCAAACAGCCTGGCTCTATCAGATGATAACAAATGTCCCTATACCAGTACTTCAAGGGTTCACTTATTAAAATGCCAAGTGTTGTTTGTCCAATATAATTTAAAAAGAAGTAAAGATTTATGTGAACCTTTTGCTGGTTTTGATCAATAGCTTTCTGGAGTCATCACCGATAAGCTAGTCAAATGTTCTCTTTCAGTTTCAAAGCTGCTAATGTTAGCTAAATCAGCCAACTGTGGCTTCTCATACTTGATACTAAAGTGGTATTAATCCTCCCAACTAGCTTACCAAGAAAGCACATTTTCTCTAAAATGTCAAGGCTATTCCTTCACAAGTCCTCAATGTTTTGACACTGAACTAAAAATCCAATTGCCCTGCTCATTGAATGAATGAAAAACATCTTCACCATTTATGCCAGACAAGGCGGTTATCATAAAACCCACTGTATCGCCGAATGCACGGCGCAGGAACAGATCTGAAGAAGGACAATGTGTTGCATCTATATGTTTTAGTTTTACAGTCTGGAAAAACACAATCAAACATTTACATTTAGAGGCTTCAAAAGGATATCAAATGCAACATACTATGTCAGCCAAATCAGGGTGGAGAGCAGCCACTGCCAAACGAAGCCTCGTCATTTATTGACGTTTAAAAAAAACACTCTGGAGTGCTGTAAACCGATGTGGAGAATAGGGGAATGTAAAATAGTCAAAGAGCTTTTGGAAAGCCCTGAAATAAGTTAAACTATCATACTTAAAGAGTGCCATTGGTATTTAGTCTCAGATTACACGTTGATGGAAGGAATCAAAGGTGACTCTCTTTTTATAGATTTGAAAAACACGAGGTAAAGTTTTATTTTCTGTACACCAATCTTGAGTTTTTAAAAACCCAATAAAGCGTGTAGTTTAAAATAAATACACTGAGGCAACCCCGGCTGCTCCCCCCCACCCCCCCCATCATGGATGCCACAGCACAAATAAAGCACATTTATATAAAGTCTCATAATTTCCTTATTTGCATGCACATGCAGTATTAAAAATACAGTTAGACCAGACCATATAGCTTATATACTATTTGAGAAAAAGAGTGTAAAAATCCAGTGCGACAGTCATTGAGTTCTTGAGGTCTACATGATTGTAATCCATTAAAACAGCCAATGAGATGATCCCGATAACAGGGAGGGCGGGGCCAGCACTCTCTGTGTTGCATATTGAACTTTTAAAAGATGGAGCTGAGGCAGAAAAAAGTCAATATTGTGAATAATCAAATCCAATGATAGACTTCAGCATGATGAGGGTGTTTGTCTTCCCTCTATTTGAAAGTGATGCCTTTCATTTGAGGTGTAAATAAATGAGCAGCTCCGCGCAAAAAAAAGGGATCATCTCACTGTTTGTTTCACAAGCTGTTTGTTACATGAGGTTTCCTTGATTTCCCAAACATTTCTAGAATGCGACACAACAGCGATTCTTCACATCGACATACATTTATCTACAAGCCCTTGTACAAAAGGGAGAGAGGAGTCATGTTTGGGAAAACAAAGAGGAGGAGAAACAACAGACAAAGAAAAGAAAACACATTTGAAACACAGTAGCATAAGTTTGGAAATCGGAAAAATCGTTTTACAGTTAAAAAGTAGAAAAATCACTCTTAGACCTTGCAACATCTTTCTAGAACCAACGAGTGACCAAAAGGTTCTCTGAACACAACTCACAGGACGTTTTCTTTGTATCACAAATCTTTGAATTACAAGGTTTAGATTTAAAAAAAATGCAGAACTCAGACTAGCCAGCACCAGAGACATTCCTACATCGCTGCTGTGGTCCTGCATATCACAGCAACCCTCCTGCAAACAGAGCTCCAAGAAACTCTGCACTCTTCAAGGCACATTCAGGACTCCTCTATTCCTCCAAAGGTAACAATAATGGGGATGGAAACACATATTAAGACATTTCTTCTTTCTTTCTTTTTTTTTTTACATTGATAATCTTCTAGGGGAAAAAAACCCCTCTATCAAAGCCCTCCTCCTTCACATTCCTGAATGAATGAAGGACAGAGGGTGCCTCCTCTTGCTCCAGCTTCGACAGCCGATAGGAGCCGAATCACATAACCTTGCCTGACAGCATAGTTGCCATGGAAACTAGCGCTACAGTCGGTGGGAGGTGGACTCTTTGAGGACACGCTGCTTACTCAATCCATACTGAGGGTCATGCAAGGCAATGCCATGACGAGTCAGGTGTGCTCAAGCGTGCAAACAGTCCATCTGAGTTTTAAAAAAAATTATAATTACAGGTTAAAATGAGTTTACAGGTACTGCCTCATGAGCGCCACCTGCTGTCAGAGTGTGATAACATGCTATTTCTGAAATAAACAAGAGTGGTAAATGCTAGCAAGGAAGAAAATATGTTTTCTCACCTGCTAGAAAGAAGCTGGCCTACGGAAGCCTGAAGTGGACATGCACCAATACTGTATTAAATCCATTTTCCAGTAATAATGACTCATTTCCAGTGTTGTTCTCTTGAGAGCTCAACTGATTTATCTCTTTAACTCAAGATAATACTTTTCCAGTGAAATTACTTCTTTTTTTTTTTCTCGAGATCTCAAATTACTTGGGTCTTTATCTTAGTAAACAAAGCTGTATTTCCTTTCATCATAAACTAATTTAACTCATTATTTTGAGATAACAAAGCTTGATTTCTTGTGATAACGGGTTTCATGCTATCTAGAAAACAAAATAGGTTGGACGTGAAAGGCCAGACCACAACATACCATGCTGCTATCACACTAACGCTAAATTAAGACTATTTCTAACTTTGTTTGTGACACTGAGGATAAGTAAACAGGAACAACAGGAAATGTCTTGTTATAAAAGAATATGTATGTAAAAAAAAGTAAATATGTATGGATGCATGACCGCTTAGGGCTTTCTTACTGGGCAGCTAATCTGCAGCCACTAACGTTTTGAAGGCTGACCTCAGCTCCTGCATGTTGTACAACATTTTTAAAAAGAAGAAAATTGGAGAAGTCCGGGATATAACACAAAAATACTGACACACACATTTACTGTAGCTTAGATATACTGTACTGCAGGGTTAATCTGAATATATAGTAGCATTGACCTATATGCGGATGATATAAAGCTGTAATAAGTGTTAGCCTCTTGTCACAAACAAGTCTTGTCATGAATGAAACATTAATCTGGGTACAGATCAGGTCCATAAACCAAGAGGAGGGCTCATCAATATGTCAATGCATGAACTGCTGTTAAAGCCATCACAGCTCGGGAGCTAAACTGGAACGTGGACGTAGCATAGGGGTGTGTGTGTGGACATGTGCACTGAGGGTCCCTCGTAACTCACTGGATTTGATTTCTATAACCTCAGTAAGCAGAATAATTCTTTCTTGCTTTATTCAGATGATCAATCATAGCTGGTGGCTGGTAGGTAGTGGAGGAGGGGGGCGGGGGGGGACAGGGTAAACACACTGAGAGAACAAAAGCCAGGACAGCCGCTGACGCTCCTCATAAGTATTCATATCACTCTCACCGAGGCAACAAGACCGCCTATTGTGACTCTTTGATAGCACAGTTTTAACTCTGCTGTGCCAACACATGTTTTCAACAGGAGCACCCCCCGTTCACAAGCACGCGTGTTTTGCTGGCTCGCACGATTGAGGGGCTCACTGCTGCTCTTATATGAGCTAGTTGGATGATCACATCAGGAGGAAAAAGCATATGGCATGTTTGGCATCATTAAAGTGTCAATTTGGGAGTTCAATTATGAGTCTTGATCCCTCTGTGTCTGCCAGTTTTGCCCAAAAGGAGTTTTAATTCTACAGCATCCCAAACAAATCAGCAACATGTTGATGTGTTGGGCACAAAGTCATTTTCTTTGAATATTGAATTTGCTTTAACAGAAGTACTTTGATGTTTGCATTTAAGATTAAGATATAATAAAAAGAAACATTATAATCTTAAGAGAGATAGCATTGTAACAACCAAAATTGAACAGTCGAAATGGATCAAAGAGCAGGACAGAGAGCTGTTTTTTTTTTTTCCTGTAGGAGCCACTCACGACCTTGTGTCTGGACACTTGGTAGACTTGAGGCAGGTTGTTTTTATTTTCATGTTCTACAGCATAACAATGTGTACAAAATGGAGTGAAAATGACACATGGGATAATAGCACCTCCATTTCTCCCTGGCCGAGGCCACAAGCACCTGCATGTACAGAATGCAAGAAGAGACGTGCGGCTAAGTGTCTTTGAGCGCTCGAGTCGTCTCTGTAACATTGGCAGTGAGTGGAACCAGGATGATCGATGCAGGCCAGGACCCGGTCCTCGAAACAAACCCCAGAGTCTCTCACTGAATTACATCTTCTGACTTTGTTTTACAAATGGCAGCAAATATCCTTTAGAGATCTTGTGGGTTTAGCTTAGTTGTGTTTATTTCAGCCAATATAAGCATGTTGTAACACATTCCAATTGGTGGCCACAACTATGACCATGAGGACGCTTCTGGAGAATTAGCTGCCATTTAAAAAAGATATAGTGTTGATGCTTCCAAAGCATGCTCTGTTGGAACTTGTTCCTGGACCGAGCCCCGACAGGGATCTGATTGGCTGCCAGATGTTTCCCAAAACACCACTGGAGGAGACTGTCAGGACACACACATGAAGCACCACAAAGATGGAGAAAGGGCATTGGGTAGTGCATGGAGTTGAAAAAAACAAAAAACAAACTTCAGCCACATCCAGCCGTTAAGGTCTGGAGCAAGATAAACAACAAAGTGTGTTTCCTCGTCAACCTGCACACACCCTGACAGGGAAACGCCACAGGCCGTTTGATAAAAGGTGTGTAAAGACTCCTTTAGAGGAATGCATGAAGGGGAGGAGTGGGCAGAGCACCGAGCTTCAGTGGCAGCCCCGCACACTTCGCCCCGAGGCTCCTTCACGTTCACTCACAGGAGTGTGTGTGACTGCAACACAAACACCCCGAGATGTCAATCAAACTAATTGCAAGTGGGCCTACGTGACACCACGAGACATGGAGGAAATAAGATAAAGGTTTTCTAATCAACTACGGTGTTGGAGCGCTTAGCGGCAGGCAGCGGGGAGCGTGACGTGAAGGAGCTGGAGGCGGGAGCTTGCGGGTCACATCCACAGAAAAAGAGCAAAAACATGCTTAATTATTCCTCACTCCCTCCCACAGTAACAGTTAGTACAAAAATGCATCAGCAGAACATGAAAACAAAATCAATAAACGGCATATCAATTCATACATATATATCTGTATATATATATGAAAAATAAAAACAGCCAAATCAATGTCTTTTCAATGTTTCGTCTTTACGTACATATAGATTTGTCTTTCTTAAACAATAATAGGATCAGGTGGAGATAATCTAAATATTTTCTTTTCTGACACATCAATGTAATGACACAGAAGAAGCACGAAGATTTTTCTTTAAAAGAGTGACTTTAAGGCTATTCCTAGATTTCTAAATAATAGTAGCCGGACAGGTTAAACGGTACATTATTTCCTCACGTAACATCATAGCTGAACTTGTCTTGTTCATAAGGTGGCAAATGTAACGACCGAGCTAGCTGGCCATAAACATGGAGCTTATAGAGAATACAAGAACTACATATATATATATATATGTACATGAAAAGACAAAAAAAAAGAAAAGAAAAGAAAGCAAAAATAACAAGAGCTACGATTTTCAGGTGCTGAAGTTGTGTGTATCGATGAGCGAGCATGCAAGTTTATTAGCTGGTGTTGGTTTGCACTGATTGTGGGGTTGAATGTGTGGAACAGAATAAAATGCATCAGCGTGCATTCAAATGAATTAGCTTGAAGCAAGATGCTAAATGCAGGAATAGAATCACAATGTGCCTCTTGGTAACACCGGTCATTTCTAAAGGTGACACAAGAGTCGGTCCATTCATCCCAACAAAGACAACATCTGTAAACTATTTGGCTTTGTGATTTTGTTTCCTGCCTTTAAGCCAACATGGAGGCAGGAAATTAAACAAACATTCATATGAAATTCAGATAACTGCGTTGTTTTTTTGTTTTTTTTACCAATTAAAACTTTGACCTCATCAGTAACAAGGTAACATGCTGAACATAAGGACCTTTATGAAAGCTGGCGCCAAAAGCGTTGCTTGAATTAAGTGTGCAGTGCACATGAAACAACAAAGGAGAGAGCCAATCAAGTACTTTGAACTTTTTCTGCCCTTGGAGCAAATAATGGTTCAATAATTTGCTTCTTCCTTCCTCTTATGACCACTTAAGTTGGAAACAAAGAGTGCTTTGGAAAGAAAGAACCTTTTTTTTTTTTTTTTTTAACTCTTGAAGTAACCACAAGTGTAAGTGCTCCATTACTCATATACAGTACAAGTGCCTCACTTTTGGTTTTTAGCCCTCCTCCTTTGTGGCAAACGTAAACACAAAGATACTTTGTTCCCTTTGAAAGGTGTCAAAGTTGGTTGAGAAGGAAGGCAGCATGTCTCTCTCTCTGTTTGTGGTGAAACATGTTTCTCTTTATGGCCTTGCACGCTGCTGACTTTATTCTTCCAGCGCTGTCAGGAACGTTTTGAACACACTGTAGTCTGGAGCAGGTGGTATGTAAACAGTCTTGGCTTTGCCAAAAAAAAAAAAAAAAAAAGAGAGGGAAAATAAAAATCAACAACAGTAACCATGGCACTTTAACAAAAACCAAAAACATAAAGAACTCGATAAAGGAGTTTTTGGTTGCAAAGTTGTCATGTGTCATGAAAGAGAGAAAGTGTTGAGTTAGTGCCGTGTACAGTTTGAGCTGCTGGTTTTTGCTTTCTGTTGAATCACATCCCTGATAAAAGAAAGAAAATGAAGCTAACTGGATACAAAAAGTGAGATAGAAAACAGTTTCTGTCTCCTGCTTTGATTGTGTGGCCATACCTGTGTTTGCTTCTCATGTGGTAAATGTGGCATGGTGCGGCTGCTATCCCTGACTGTAAAGTGTGTATTTTTTTTGCATTGACCGGTCCACCTTGTGTGTCTCTATTCCTCCATCTCTTTCTTAGAATCACTTCTGTTCTTTCCTCAGGCTGTCAGGAGCAAGGAGCAGACGAGGAACCAGGAGAGGCTTTGTGATGTCGGTGATAATAGATCACCTGAAATAGTCCAGAAATGAAAGAGATGATGATTGAGCTGAAGGAAGAACAAAAACTGGAACTTTGACCTCTATGCTTTTTTTTTTTTTTTTTTTTTTTACAATATTGTTCAAAAACTGCAGGAGGTGCAAGAAGCCCATTCTTCTTTTGGGTCCATTTTTATTTTATTTTAATAAAACAAAAAGGCTTTTGGCCTTTTTTTTTATCTGGACCCCTTCTTTGACTTTCTATTTAAAACCAGAGCTTTACAAAACATAGAAAGATGCAACACTGAACTCAACAAAAAAAAAAAAAAAACAGGAGAAATCTTTAGATCTTTTTTTTTCTTTATACTGTATAGCTGCACTAAGGTTTCCCAAAGCTGAGAACGATGGGAATGGCGAGGCAGTAGTGGGAAATCCTGGACAGCACTGTAAAAGTTGACTGTCCTTCGGTTCCTCCCACTGCTGGAATGGTTCAGTGGAGCTGAGGAGGAGGGGCATCCACAGGGGGCGGAGCTGGAGCTTGACGGACAGTTGCGATTTTGAAGAAAAACCAAATGCATGCAAAATGATGCCCCTCCCTGCTTTGTGGTGAAACGGCTGTGGGCGTAGAGCGCCTTGTCATAACTGGAGAACGCTCAGTCGGTGAATCTCTGACAGGCCTTTTTCCAGCGGCAGGCGGTGCACCACATGTCTCGGTTCTCCATGCCATACACCTTTCGGCACTTCTTCCCTTCACCACGCACCTTCCGACTGTAGAGAGGAGACAGAGGTTAAGTGATTAAACCGAAAAGATTGTGTTTTTAAAAAGATAATCATAACATGTGCAAGCAAGAATCAAACGGGCAGAAAACTGAGGTAAACAATTATGCTTGAGATTCCCCTAATAGAACCAATCAAAATAAATGCTGTATTGTATAAAAATGCTTTAGAGTTCTCTCACAGGTAAAGATTTAGAAATTGATTAAATCTACTGTTATTTTTCAGAAATGTGTTTTTCTTTGTTTTTGGCTAGCTGTTTTTTGTTTTTTTTAATTCTTCTTTGGCGACTTGTTTCCACTTCTTCCCAGTGATTATGTGGTAACTTCAAAAGCAAACTGTATTTCTCAAGATGTTAGGAAACTTTTCCATTTTGTAACGTGAGTTATTAACAAATAACAAATACACCACAAACAAGCAACAGTCCTTTACTCCTTTAATGATGTTTGTGTCCTAATGTGGTACAGAAGGGATGCACTAACTCAACAATCTTCAACAGCTTGGTTTGTTGTTGAAGTGGATAAGACAAATCTGAAGCTGCCAACTTGTAATGCCTCATTTTTAATGAAAGCTAATTTAGCAAGCTGATTTGTAAGAGTCAGTATTCTATGTTTTTAACACATGAAGTGTTGTAACTCAGGTAGATTTAGTTCAAGTAGAAAATCCTTTTAGGAACATTCCTTGGATTCATCTGAAGTTAAATTGACAAAGTAAATGTCAGGTACAACGCAGCAGGCAGTAAGGACTCAGTACCTGAGGGCGGTGGTGGCTCTGGGAGGAGACGAGAGGACAGAGATGGTCTGAGAGCGCTGCTCACCGAAGCCCTGGCTTTTACTGGGAGACATCTGAAGAGGAGAGACACGTCTGAGGTTATAAACACAGAATCACTCCGTGTGGCAGAGAATCATTGGTGTGCATTAGTGTTTCCTCACTGTGCTTCCGGTGAAGGTGACGGGCGGAGACTGCCAGGAGATGCTGAAGTTGGAGCTGTTGGTGGGAGTGAAGCTGGTGGAGGCCGAGCTGGTCGAGTTACTGCCGTTTGACGGGATTGACACCGGAGCCGTGGCCTGAGGTCAAAGGTCAAAAGGGACGGTTTTTATGACCCCAATTTTTAATTGATTGATTACATTTATTTCAGACATATCAAATAAAATCAAACATATCAAAAAATACAAAATGAAAAGCACGAAAATACAATAAACAAAAAACGAAGTTCAAATTATTTCACAAAAAAAGAAAAAGAAAAAGAAAATTACATATATTCAATTGATATGCCTGAAAAGGAGTAGGAAGAAGTATAAAACTTATTTAATCCTACCCCTTTTCCACAGCTCAATAATTAATATTTATTAAATTAAATGCCTGTGTTACTTATAAGCTATATAAAGAAAGCCCCAAAAGATCTGGTATTAAAATCTAGCACTTTCACTTCTTTCTTTTCAATCAATCTGTGTTTCAAATGAGATTTATGTTTTCAAACATTATTAAAAGAAAACCTGGAAACCTTTGAGAATAACTCATCTCAATGTAAGGCAAGTCCAAAGTCGAGATAAAATAATGTTCTTTCAAAATGAAACTAAGCCTCAAACTTAGACTAATAAATAGATCGGCTTGTTTTTCAGTAAAAGTTTCTGCAATATTTTCATTGCACACTTTAGGGATCTCAACTTGTAAACACCATACAAGTAACTAAGGGTTGATAATACCATACCATATATCAAAACCCATCTGTTCAAGATCGCCTACTCTCTCTAACATTTTAACTGTAATTACACTGTCCTACATTTCATTTCTTTTACTGTATGCTGATTTTATCCATCATTGTTTTTTCTAAATGTTGATTGTTGCACAGTGTCTGTGTGTGTCTTGAAAGGCGCTTATAAATAAAATTTATTATTATTATTTATTAATACAACATGTAGCTATTCACACTTAACTGTATCATTACTGATTTGAATGGTTAAAATTGATGGGTAGTTTCACTATTCCAGCTACAATGACTTCTTCAGACCTGCTGCTGTGTTGATAAACCTCAACTGTTTGCACAGCCGCTAACAGGAGCCAGGGGCCACACGTTGCTGTGACATCATCTGTGTGTTTTTAACACTCTGGCATAAAATCAGTATAACAAAGAACCTCAGAGTAGTGTGTATTTGGGAACTGTGTGGCATGAGGAGTGTGTCATGGTGTGTATTGATCGAGAGAGTGCATTGAAACTTTATGTCTACGTTGACCGTTGCATTGATTTTAATCTTGGCCATGTGCATCAGTGTGTGTTTCTGTTTGTGTACATGCACACATTTCCTCTGCTCCCTGCTGACCTGGTAGGCGTGGTCCGTGTGGATGAGGTAGAGAGCGCTGGGCGCAGAACGGCTGAGCGGGGTGCTGCCACCAGCGTGAGGCTCCTTGGTGTTGGAGGACTGTGGAGATCTGTTGGAGTCGGCCAGCTGGTTGAGAGACGGGAGAGGGGAGGGGGGAGGAGGAGGGGCAGAGAGGAGGGACGGGGACACGGGGGACAGGCTGCTCAGCCCGTCAGCCACCGAGTCTGTGTTGAGCTTGATCTCTGTGTAGTAGAAGTCCTCCTCGCCGTCGCTACAGTCTGAGTCACAGTTACGCCTGAAGACAGAGAGAAACACAAAGTCGGTCAGTCAGTGAGTCAGTCTGAACTGAAATAGAACATTTAAAAGATAACTGAGGGATTAACAAGAAACAAGCGACAACAGCTCAGATCTTTGTTCATCAATAAGAGGACGATTATTTCTAACATGAAACTGATATTCAGTGTTTTTGATGGTTTTAATAATTATGTGAATATGTGCTTTACAGATGAGATCTCTGCAGATAATTCAACTCCAAAAAAACCCACAAATATGTAAACAATAAACACTGTGAGAAACAAAACATAAAAACAGGAAAAATTGCCTAGCAACAGCTCTTATGTTTAGAGATGGAGTTTGTAATAAGCTCCATAAGGACCCTAATTCTGCATTTTTTTAAACCCAGAAATCAATAATGTTTAGGCTTATTGATACTGCTCTCAAGTCTCGTGGGTAAACACGGTTTCTTAAGTCTAGTCACGTCTTTTAAATGAAAAGATTGGTGCACAAATATACATTTATCTTCTAAAAAAAAAGGTCGCTTTTTTGTGTAAAATGTAGCTGCCAGCCAACGAGCACATCGGCTCTGTTAATCAAATTAAAATAATCCAATTTAGCAGCAGTCCTGCATGCTGTCATCCTCAACTCAAAGCATCCAGAACACGCACACTTTGTAGCAAGTCCTGTTATTTAAAAAAAGTAATCCAATGCTGTAATCGGCAGAATAAAATCTAGTTAGCCAACTAAACCAGGGGACATTAAGGTGTGTTCAAGGTCGGGTCGGTAAAATGACTTTCAAGCAAAGGTAAATGAAACGCCATCATGCTGTGTCCAAATATAACGTCAAGAAAAGGCTAATCAGAGTTTTGGTCAGAAACTTGAACAAATAACTTATTTGTTTGGAGGAGGAATTTGTTTGTTTTCTGAAAAGTAAAAAACAGAAATACAGGTTCTTTAAAAACCATTCCGTCGTCTTGTCTTTCCACTTATCGTGAAAAAAATTTCGTGAGCGGTAGTCTAAAGAAGAGGTCAGAAGAGAAGTAGACTAGTTAAGGTATGCTGTGTGTGTGTGTGTGTGTGTGTGTGTGTGTGTGTGTGTGTGTGTGTGTGTGTGTGTGTGTGTGTGTGTGTGTGTGTGTGTGTGTGTGTGTGGTTCCCTCACCCCAGGTGGATGGTGCGGATGTGTCTCTGAATGCCAGCAGCCGTACTCAACACCTTGCCACAGTTCTTCCACAGGCACTTGAACATCACCTTCATGGAGTTCTGCAGGAGACACACAGAGAACAGCAGCTGCAGTCAGAGGAGCTCAGACATGGGTTCATGCTGACAGTCATGTGTAAAGACTAAAGTAAACCTCTTCACACTACATCCTCCTTATATATAGTAGAAGAATGAAAACTGGAAACTAACTATAATGTACTTCACTTTTAATGAAGCGTTCTACTCTAACATGTATCTAAGTGCTGAGTGAGGCGTTACAGTTAATATATCTACTTTAATTACAACACTGGTGGCTTACTGGTGCATTGTTTTTCATTGAGCCCAGTGCCCGCCTGCCTCCCTGGCCCTGTGCCTTTTGTAAATGCTCTTACAGGCCTGTCCATCAAACTATTGTTGAGGGGGCTGATTTCATTTTGACAAAATGTTGTTTTGTTATTTTATTTTATTTTTTTAATTTCTTCTCTGTCAGAATTGCATGCACACACAACAATCATCTGTCCCCCGTGCATTGTTTTGTGTTTGGGTAACAAAAGGCCTGTTCTGTGTGTGTGTGTGTGTGTGTGTGTGTGTGTTTCCTTTATAGAAGCATTTCACAGTTAATTAAATGGTGAGCTCTAAATGCCATTGTCTTGCCAAGAGGAGTAAGTAGATCATTTCATGTGAAACCTCTGCATCATACATAAAGCTTCTTGTGTTTTCTGTGAGTCAACTATATTATTATGCTTTTGATCATTGTTTTTTGTCTCCAATTTATCCCATTTTAATTCTTCATGCATAACATTCTGTTCTTTTCCTGTTTGTGATAAGTCCCCAATTAAAACAGTGCGGATGTGGAGCCAACCCAAGTCCTTATCGATTTGTCAAGGATACACAAAGCCGACGGGATCTTTGTTTGTTGTTGCAGGCATTTAAAATCATTAATGCTGTTGTGGGGCAGAAGCATGAGGAGTAATTATGAAGGGTGAATGCCTGGAGAGGACACATACATACACAGTATAGAGTTTATGTTGAGTTTGGGGGAAAAGGGAGAGAATGTAAGGAGGGTTGGATGGAAGACGCTGACAGCCAATGCCAAACTAGCGAGAAGGAGCACTGATAAGGAGAGAGGAAGAGGTAAAGAGAGTAGGAGAGGCAGCGAAGATTTATACATCTGAAAAAATAATGAGAGTGACACGGAGCTGTGGATGGGATGGAGCTGTCAGAGTGTGTAGAAAAATGAAGACAAGCAGAAATGAAGAGTCTGTGTGTTGAATAAAAACATCCGGACAACAAAGACTAAACAACCACTGGAGCAAGAGGCTGGGTGTCCTTTCCTGTCCTTTCCTGTCCTGTCCTGTCCTATCCCCCCCCCCCCCGCCAATCAGTCAGCCGAGGTCCAAACCACATCCATAACCTTGGTGGTTAATATCACAGTGTGAAATCATCGAGCTGCATCAGACAGCAAGTCAGCTCAAACCCGTTTCTTATTGACCGATCTGCCTGTTTTCAGGAGGACTGAGCTCCATAAATGATAACCTTTATATTTCTGTTGGGACTGTTTTGAACCTGCTCGAGCACACGGGGTCCTCATTATTAACCCCCCCCCCTTCTGTGAGGATTAAGGTGCCAACTGACTGATTTAATAACAAGTCTCAGCCTGGGAGAAAACTGCTTTTAAAATAACTCTGAGGAGTTTTATTGTTTTGAAAGATAATCTTACTGTCTATTGCATAAAAAAAACACTTATTTCCCACCCAATTGTGGCTTCCTATACACACCTAATCATAAATCTTTATACTCTAGAAATAAATGTTAAAAATATATGTGAGTTAATAGACTAGCAGAGGAATTAACATTTAATTGTCTCTGCTGAGAATAAAAAAAATCTGATGGGATGAAGAAATAATGCTTTTCAAAATGTGTTCATTCACTGAACAAAAAAATGAACTACTTCTTACTTACACTCCATGTAAATCATTCACTATGTAGTTTAATTATTTATAAATAAGGCTGCATACCACAACCTACTGATAAGACTGTGCAGTGAGTGCCACTAAATCTTTCTTGTGCATGTTTTCACAGATTTTTAATCAGATAGGAATATTGGCAGAAATTGTTATTTTCTAGGTGGATGCTGTTATTGAATTTCAAATCCCTTTCTATCAGATCTAAACAGATTGCAGAGTGATGTAAATTATTAATATATTCTGTGTTCAGATATTCAAAAAGACACAACAGGTATTCAAAAGGAATCATTCAGAGTTTGTAGAGTAGGTGGGCTGTGTCTGTTTCACCCTCTGCAAGATGATGACAGATTGAGCTGTTTAAGAAAGTAGGAAAAACTAGAGATTCAACTTCCTGGTTTTTAGTTTGGAATTCTTAATATTCTCTTTATGTATTTGTTTTCCTAGTAGAAATGCTTTTAACGAGTACTTCACAGAGGATTGTTGTTTTCAGTGCACATGAGCAGAACCGGACTCTTTAAACTTAAAGATGTGGTTAACAGTATTCACCTTGCGCTTGCGAGGGATGGGCTCATCAAAGAGCAGGCTGCTGCCATCTTGATCTTCCAGGCTGGGGTCTTCAGGTCCTGCGGGGCCAGGACCCACACCCCCTAGACTGGGCACACGGAAGGGCTTGAAGCTGTCAGCGGAGAGGGGTGGAGAGGGTGTAGAAGGGTTGGACTGGTCACTGGGGGCAGACCAGCTCCAGTAGCCCCCAGAGGAGCTGTTGCTGGAGGGTGTGAAGGGGCCAGCAGAGCCGTTGTCCTTCCATGAACCGCTCTCTGAGAAGATTGATAGGAACAGTGAGCGAGGAGGTGCAGGCATAGAGGGGAGGGAGGAAATAAAGAGAAAAAGGGGGAAGGAGGTGAGAAATACAATTATAGCATAAAAATAAAGATAAAAATAATATTTTTTAGGGATAATCATAGATGATACAATACACAGCAAAATGTGTGGGTGTTCCTGTTAGTGATAGGAGATCAAGACGTTAGATTAAGATCAGACGGCTCTATTTGCACTTCACACAGAAGAGCCTCCCAGCGTAACTGTCGACTGTGACACAAAGAAATAAAAGGTTACTTTCTTGTGCTGAGATTCCACGGAGACACTTCCAAGGTCTTGTTTTGTTGGATCAAAGAAACGTTTCTTTTGAATATGAGCTACAAAAGAGATTTCACTTTGTGAAGGTTGAAGCTGGGGAAAACTTTGGAGCTAATAGAAGTTTGTGTGAAAAAAGGTAGGTGCACTTCTTTTGTTTTGTGTGTGTGTGTGTGTGTGTGTGTGTGTGTGTGTGTGTGTGTGTGTGTGTGTGTGTGTGTGTGTGTGTGTGTGTGTGTGCGCGCATACGTGAGGGAGCCAAACAGAGAAAGTAAGAGTCAAGAGCAGACCTAGTTTGTTTGTTTGTTTGTTTTGGCTGCTTGATGGCTAAAGATTTTGGGCATTTACTGGAGAGAGAGAGAGGGAGAGCGAGAGAGAGTGAGAGAAAGACAGAGAGAGGGAGAAAGTGAGAGAGAAAGCAAGAGAGAGAGAAAGCAAGAGAGAGAGAGAGAGAGAGAGAGAGAGAGAGAGAGAGAGAGAGAGAGAGAGAGAGAGAGAGAGAGGGGAATGAAATGTGGGAAATGAGCCACAGGTCTGGTTCGGATCCGGGCAGCCAGCCTCGAGGAAAAGCCTCATGCTCATGGGGCTCGCAAACTAACCACTTGACATAAAGGAGGAATTTGATGCACCAACAGTAGAAAGCTGCTCTGATGTGGGTTTGGTTTTGGTGTAATGATATCAAGTTAGGATTTAAAAAGAGTGTAAAAACACCTTTAATGTCAGTAGAGGTCATTCCATGGCATGGCACCAGCTTCACTCGCATCTCAAAGTGATCTAATTCATAACTACCTCCTGTGTGTACTCGTGGAAATGCATATTATGTGATCTTCGACATGTGTACATGTGCACGACATCTCTATGACTTAATTAAGCTAAAACTGTGCGGTTGGTATTTAAAAGCCACTTTGTGCATGTGTGCATGATGTATGTGATGTACATTTCCCATCCGAGCGCAATGTGTCTGCGAGACTGCGATAACACGTGCGTGGTGGCCGGAGGGTTGGCTGCATGTCTGCTCGGTTGGATGTGGGCCGGTTGTGCAGCTGACTATAAGGGGGTTGCATGTGATAGCAGTTTATGGGGCACTTTGGATTTCTGCCACCGTGTCGAGCGGCACGGATCCAGGGCTCTTTGTGTGCCTGTTTTTTTTCTGTGGGTGTGCAGAAGTCACCAGTGAGAGAATCCTAAAGCACAGCAGGTGGCGGTAATTTATCAACTTCAGCTTCCACATGCATTCACAAGATAACAGCTGTGAGGGAATGAAAAGTCACTGTATGGCAGAACATACCAATTATATGCTAAGGCTGTGCTGCCTTTGTTTACATAAAAAGCTGATTTATAAAAGAATTGATGGAGAACTTTTGAAGTAAATTAAGACCTATTTATTCAATCTTGCTTCTAGTTTAGAATGATGTAATAGCCTTAATGTACGTTTTAACCATTTTCTTGTAGATAGCTTTATCCCAAATGTCCTCAAATGTTTATTTTGTCTTATTTCAATTGAGTTTTTCTCATTACCGGTAATTCATTTCTAACAGTTTTTAACTCTTTTGATTTTAAGACTTAAAAAGTGTGCTCTATTGTAATCATTTTTGTCCTTTTTTTTCCTGTCAGGTTGTTCCCATTTGGTAAATAAAGCTGAGCAGAGTAAAGGGAATTAACACTCATTTAAAGCTAGGAGTGTAAAGCATACTGCGTTCAGCAAAAGGACGCCTCTTGATCAGTTGTGCGACTGTGAGTACGTATTTTCATGAATTCATTCATCTTGATAATTTTGTGGATATATTAATTGTGTCAACCATCTCAGAGTAATTCTTCTTTTAGGTTTGTAAAGCTGTAATAAATATGTGTAAGAGACATCATAGCAGCAGAGTTATAGTTGGATTTAAGAGTCTGTTGTGAGCTGAAAAGGAAATGTGACTCTGAGACTGAAGAAATGTAAATGTCTGATATGTACGAGTCAAGGTGATGTCTTCTTTCTAGCCTTTTAGAGATATAACGAAGCAGCCAGGAATTTTTGGGCTGCACCTTCTAGTAGAATATAAGCAACACTGTGAAGATGAAGACTTTGTCACTTTGCCCATAACTGTCAATGATGGTCAATGATTTTGAGATGAGATCTTGGTCAGCATGGGTCAGCGATGGTCTGCACTTTGTCAGCCATGTGTGTTGTGTTTCTACGTTGTCTGACCACAGCTGAATAAATCTAAGATGATCCACAGTCTGTTTCACGATTTCATCATTGTTCATCTACTACAGAAACAACCCCACCTAACAGCGACTCACCATTGACTTTGACAGGTGGACTCCTGACCAGCGGGCTGGTGGAGAGACTTGTTAGCACCATGGCAGCCGTCACCTTGTCCATGTCCACTTCCTCCTCCGAGCGTCTGTTAAAAAAACAACACCAAGGGAGAGGAGAATGTCACTGAAAATGTTCTGCTATTAGCACATGGACCCACATTTAGCATTACTTTAAGATGATATACTCAATGCATTATATACTGTGATTTTCATATTCTCACTAAATCACTCTGCAATACTCACACCACACACATAAACCAAAATACTCTTACAGGAGTCAGATTTTAAGACTAAATCAGGTATCTGGTGCAACGAATCCGCATAAGCCGCTAACTGTTTTCATGTCCTCTGTGGTGGACTGACGCAATTACCCAGACACCGCTTGAAAAATAAACAGCCAGCAGCTGAAATGTGGCGGTAAGAAATAAAAGAATGAACAAAAAACTAAACAAGACTGATGGGGGACTTGTGTTCAATCCCCAAAGCCTGTATAGTCAACATAAGCTCAGTGCTGTTAAGTACACACACTAGCCAATCCATGTGATAGACTGACACCACAAACCACCCACGTACAGTATCTGTCTCTTCTAATTGGCTCACAGTGAAGTAGCGGACAGGTATCTTAATCCTCCTGCATGTATTCCTCAGGGTGAGCCAATCCCGCTGATAAAAGAGATGTACCGACGGTAAGGCAAAGTATGTTGCAGGCTCACTATAACCGCTACAAGTACAAGTGTGTGTGTGTGTGTGTGTGTGTGTGTGTGTGTGTGTGTGTTTTGATCCTGGGAAAGACACTTTGATGGTGTGCAAAAGCCAAATGATCAAAGTCAATTCTATTACAATGATGAAATCTCCCACCGCCTCTGAAAAATGCAAACATCAACTATCACAAAGTTTTCACAGCCGCTGTACTGAAGGTTATACCGCGTCTTAATTGGTACACATCCAGAACAGAACAGGTGACAAACTATTAGAATAAACAAGTCATCTCCTACATACTGTATATGCAAACATAGTAGTTAAAAGATAAAGACAATACAAGTTATGCAAACACTGATTCTTCTTCATCAACACTTCTGTCTGAACTTGTTCTTCATCTACTAGTTAGACTGGTCGTATCACTGCACGTCTTTCTTTGTGATTATAGATTATTTCAATGATATCCTTAAAATCATGGTCATTACTAACTCAGAGAAAGAGTGGCACTGAGTTGTGACTGGGTGCGATGAAAACCCAACTGACACAAAACCTTTTTAAAAAGTCATGACTTCACTGCCCCTTTAACAACAATCAACATCCCAACCTAACTGTTCAACCTAAACCAACAGTGGACAGGTTTAAGAGCAAGTTTTGAACTTCACAAGTGGCCCATCTGTGACTCCTGATGTTTATTATTTGAATCACTTCAGGGCACAGATGCTTCTCATCCAGGCGGCCAAAGCTTTGCTTTTCTAAAAAAGAAAGAAGGTCCCAAAAATCCAGATGTGAACACTCACACAGATGTGTTCAAGAGAACAACAAAAGGTTTTCGACAGAGTCCTTTTCTTAGTAGTAGTAAAAAAACAAACAAGGAGATGCTGAGTTTTTTTGTATGATGATGAAAAGATAACAGAACATCTTGGATGTCATGTCTCCATGACTCAACAAGAGGCTTTAGATGGTGTTGTTGACTGCAGTGCAGCTGTGTGTTTCTCCACATAAAGGCGGCAGGCCTTTTCTTTTACTGGCTGCTGGTTCCTAGTGAGGCCTGCTTTAGCAGCTACAAGAAACAAAAGAGCAAAAGGGGATTTCCAGAGTTCTGTTTTTGAACCAATACAGACAGACTACTGGATTATTTTGGGATGCATCGCTTTCTCAAAGATGAATCAGAGCAATGGTATTCATTGATAAAAATGTGTATTTAATAGATTACAGATTAGTTTAAATGTTTTTCTAGTTTTGATTTGATGAACCTCTTCTTTGAATAAATTCTGTTTTAATTTAGCTTCAAAGTTAAAACCTCAATTTGAGGTCTATGGAAAGTGTAGATCACATGGAGACTTTTTTTGGGGGGGCCTTTCTGCCTTTATTAGATAGGATAGGAGAGCTGAAGAGATACATGAAGAGGAGAGAGTGTGGTACGGCATGCAGCAAAGGCCCGAGGTCGGATTCAAACCCACGGCCACTGAAATGAGGACTATAGCCTCTGTACATGGGGCGTGCAACCTCTAGGCTACTGGCACTCCAGAGACACCCTTTTCCTTGAAAAAAAGAGAGAAAAAAAGAGGAAGGGTGGATAGTTAGCTAACAAAGAAAGAGCCTGAGCCTCCATTAGCTGATCTGTCTAATTTATTACCCTTTCCTCTGTTGAATATGATGTCATTACAGCCTCCACATAAATCAAGAAACAGGGCCACTTTCACCCATAACCCCCCCCCCCCCAGCCTGTGTCGCTGTAAAACCACTTCCTGGTCACCTTGGGATGCCGGCATGTGACTGTAGATATTATCTCCATGGTAACAGTGACAGACAATAATTACTGGGTGCTTCGTCTATCATGAAATATGAAAGAGTAACTCTCAGAAAAACACATTAGGAAGGCCGGATAATTAAGAAGTGATGTATGAGCAGGAAAACCAGAGAATGAGGAGTGGAATTTCCCAAATCACATTTGCCATTAGTGGTTTTATCAAACTAAGTTTTCTCGTCCAAGTGCTTATTACGGCTATAATTAACACACAGCAAGAGTGTGTGTGTGTGTGTGTGTGTGTGTGTGTGTGTGTGTGTGTGTGTGTGTGTGTGTGTGTGTGTGTGTGAGAGAGAGAGAGTGTGTTTTTGGAGAGACATGTTAAAACGTATGATGCATGTGACACAGGAGACTTGCTGGGATGGCTAATGGATTGGTAAGTGAATTTTGATAAATGAGTGTCATATGTGAGTGTGTTTCTGAATATGCCGGTGTGTGTGTGTGCGTTTATTTATGTTTTAATGTTCAGTACTAAGCTGCAATAAAACAGCCTCTACATCTGACCCCTGAGGCGTCCTAAAAGCAACAATATCATGGATGTACAGCGAGAAAGTGAAGAGCTTGATTACTTATGCAGATTATATGAAATAAATATATGTCGTTTTATTTTCCCTGCAGGCTGTTCATAACGGGGAAATGAGTTTATCTTCAGGGGCGGAACAAACACATTACTACAGATGCTGTATAAGTTGTTTATATGTCAAAGACTGTCATGTTGTTGTTGTTGTTGTTTTTTGACATGAAACAAGGCCATTTGCTTTTTAATAGATTCTGTTCAGGTAGCGTCACCATACCTCATAAAAGATTTGAATTAGATTACACCCGCCATTAACAGGAAATTACTTCCATGTTTGCCTTCTTATTCATAAACGTAAACATTCATCACCGCAGACGAGACCACACTCTCAGTATAAGATCTTTTTTAGGTCAATATATAACAGCTTCTTTTATCATAAGTACAGAGTGCTTATAAGTCACACGTATCTTGTGTTAATTTCAAATTCAAAATAAAGAAACAAGAGTAAGAAATCAGTATGAATTCTATAGCTTCAATATATAGTTATTTATACATTGCTGATTAATTTGCATTTGTTTTATAAAGGAATTCTTAAATCAGGAGAGAATAATTCTACACAACTTCACAGAACTGTTCTGTAACAGTCAGAAATTCATAGGGATTGTGTTTACATTACGATCACAGCAGAAAAAGAAAAAAATCACAAGAAACAAGAAAAATGAAAATTTGTTATTTTTTGTTTAAAATAACAAATGTATAAATCAATTAAACTAGGAGCAGACACATGATTTCTTGTTATTAGTGCTACACTTACATGAAGGAGTTAATGGACTGATGTGTAACAGGCCATAACATTGTGTGACAAGTAGAGCACCACTCTGATTAATCTTGTATGCTAATGAAATATGTAAACTTGGTTAAAGAGATTTCTGGATTCAAAGATTCAATTTGACTTTACACTTAGGAACTGTGGCTAAAGTGTTGGGATTAATCCCTGTGAGAGTATGAAGATACAAGTAAAACAACAGCTCCCTCTTCAGGGGTTCTGATGAGGTTGGAGGCGGTACACAGCTGTGTGCCAATGTGCTGTGTGTGTGTGTGTGTGTGTGTGTGTGTGTGTGTGTGTGTGTGTGTGTGTGTTTCTGTGAGGCATGTGCTTAATGGTGTACTTCCCTGGACAGATGTGCCAACTCCTGTTTTTAGTCCATTCAAGTTCATCTAAACAAAGGGCCTGCATGGGAACAAGTAAGACAGGAGGGAGAGAGAGTGAGGGTGTGTGTGTTTAACTGTATGTCAGAACAAGTCTCCAGCACTGTGGGGGACGGGCAGTGTCCAGTTTCAAACTAAGCACTGGGAAAGGAGAAGGACAAAAACAGGGGCTTAAGTTACTGTGGCCATCTTTGTTTGACAGGTAGCTGCGGTGCAATGAAATGTTGGCCAGACTTATTTTTTTTTAATCACACTTTTTAGTGTGTTTCTCGTCCAAATTTCTGAATTATGTCAACTAGAGAAACTGACTTAAGAAAAAACAACAAAAACTTTGGAAAGTTAGGCCCTCTGCTTGTATGGATGCTATTTTGAATGATTCTTATGATTATATTTTATTCATGTACCGGTATCTATATTTGTTGTTTTATTAATTAGGTAGGGGGATGGGGATTATGGGGGTGGGAGTCCAGTGTACTGCTGGGTTTGTATGTGATATGCCCCCCCATAAGGCGGCCCTATGGTGCTAACAACAATCCACACAATGACCCATTAAAATACTTCAAACACCATAACAAAGCCAAAACAAAGGGATTTATTACAATATGACAAACTAAATGATAACAAAGATCAAATAGGAAACAAAAGACAACAGACAATCCCTGACTGAGAGGCACAGCAGTCCCAACTCAAAATGCCTCCTGCAGCCAGAACTGGGCTTTTAAGCTCTGAGGCCAGGTGTGCCTCGTTGTGCAATTAGTGGCTTCACCTGGGCTGGAGACAACAGAAGGGACAAACGGTACAGGGACACATACAGTCGTAACAGTATGTTTAATAGTGCTGGCTATTGTACATAT